AATGATAATTGATAAATTTGCTGTAAATTGAGTAAAATAAGTATATAGGTTATGTCTATAATGAATCTAAATATTTTATTGTAATTTATTTACAAATTCATATTTTTAATTAAGAAATAACCAAAAATCGTAATTTAAAATATTTTTTAAAATTTAAAATTAAAATAATAAATATATATATGTGGACTGTGCATATTACATAGATAAAATATTAAAAACAATAAATAATATATTGTTTAATATTTAAAATGGTGGAAGTTGGGCCCGATTCAAACTGAACCAAAATCGAACAAGCAAAATTTATTGGTTTCGGTTCAGTTTGATCCGGGCCTGGTCCACAGCGGCGATGCTCACTCCAAAAATCTCCTTTGAAAAAGTAGACCTTCGGGAGGTTGACTGTTGGTAATTGGGATTGCCTAATCAACACTTCTCATACTAAAACACGTGTCATTGATCTAGACGGTGTGAGGTGAACAATTAGTTAAGCACAACCTCAGCTAATCACTTCTTTAAGAATAAAGATCCAAAACATTTCCATCTCACCAAACCACAATCGTCTCTCTCTCTCTCTCTCCCCTCCCACTCGTCTGCGGCAATCGCCGAACTACGCCCTTGACATCGCCGGCGAGGTTTGTATCCTCGTTCACCTTCTCTGTAAATACCTATATACGTAGTCAGGTAACTTTTATACATGTATGTTATGCTTAAATAGTTAAGTCTTCAACTACTTCCCTGTTAAACTAGGGAATCTCCTCTTTCTCTCCCGTCTCACCGGAGAATTCGCCCTGTGACTTGCACCGAAAGCACACGCACTGCTCTTTTCTCTATCTATCTCCTTCTATTTCTGTCTCTATGATTTCTGGAATGTACATTTCTGGTTTGATTTTGTGCCATTTGAACGCTTTTCTGATTCTCATTTCCTAAATGTTGCTCTGCGTTTATGTTCGTTTCGTACTTCATTGAAGTAGGGTTTTGCTTGTGTTGTATTTGGTTGCTGAATTTCGTATGTTTTAATTGGTCGATTAGCTTAAGCGGGAGCGTAGCTTTACAGGTATAACTGCTCATGTTGGTTTTTGTTAGCTTGTTATTTTGCTACCGAACTTCGACTGATTAAAATTTATGCTGAAACTTGAATCCATGTTTTAATATTTTATTTGAATTGAGGATATAACCAATAGTTATGCTTCTAATTATGCTTAAATTAGGGCTGAAGCAAATTGGTTCTGTAGATGTGAGCCTCAATAATATTAAGCATCATTCTTGAGGAATCTGTTGATAGATGGCTCTCTGCATTCTCCAATATTATCAAGCATTCTTCATATTTATTTTGTTTATTTCTTGTTTTATTAAGGTGAAAAATGGGGAAAAAAAGACATGAAGAGAAGGAGGAGAAAGGAAATAGAAAATAAACAAAGAAAAGGAAGAAAACAAAAAAAAAAGGAAGAAAAGTGCGAGAGCAATGGCAAAACGAGTAGAAAAAAAGAAAAGTTAGGGAGAACAAAGGAAAGAGGAAAGAAAAGAAAAAAGAGAAAAGAGAAAAAAAGGAAAGAAGGTGGATTTAAGATTAACATTTAGTTTCATGCTTCTGTTTAGATTTGTTGTGATTTACCATCGATGCTTCTGGTTTGGAGAAATTCTTTGGACTTGTATTTACGATGCTTCATATCATGATTTTCTGCATATAGATGGCAGGTGCAAGCTAGTATGGTTAAGTTGGTATGTTTGCATACATGAATCCTCCACTATTTTGGTGATCTTACTGTGTTCGTTGCATTAAGGGTCAATAAAATGGGGCCAAATTAACCATTTAAGTTTTCATTAAACTTAATATGGAGATTTGTATAACATGAAAAGTGGAAATAAAAATGAGAACAAGAAGTTATGTTTTAGAAAAGGAGACATTGGGATTATCCCATTGCCAATAAGGAAATGTTGAAGATCCTGCGAGAAAAGAGTATGTGTGAAGATTTGTGAACAAAGGTTGGAAGAAATAGAGAGAAAAAAACATGAAAGAACTTCTTCTGGTTATTATTCTGAAAGAGGGATAAAGACTCCTTCTTTTGTTACAAAAGAATTGATTGACTGAAGAACATTGCATTTGTATGCTATTTATACAAATGCCTCTTACAAATTCAACAACATGCTAATTGACTAACTACTTTAACAAAAAACAGAATAACAAAAGGTGAACATAAACTAATTATCTAACTGTCATAGCATCCCACCTTCAAGTTGGACTTTGGTGAACGTCTGCCAAAGCTAACTTGGAACGTAGATTCTGAAAAGTTGGAGAAGAGAGAGGTTTAGTGAATATATCCGCTACTTGGGTAGCTGAGGTGACATAAGTTGGTGCAACCATCCCTTCCTTGATCTTTGTCCTGATTATGTGACAGTCAATATCCAAATGTTTCGTTCTTTCATGAAATACTAGGTTTGCAGCTATATGCATTGCTGTCTTTTTATCACATTTGAGATCGATTGGTAAGGAGTAATCCACCCTCAAGTCTTGAAGAATATATATAACCCATTGCAACTCACATACTGTCATAGCCATTGACCTGTATTCCGCCTCAGCTAAACTTCTGCTGACAGTATTTTGCTTCTTTGCTTCTTTGCTTTCCAGGAGATTGATGATGATCCTAGATATACACAATATCCAGTGAGAGACTTTTTAGTTTCCGGGCATGCCCCCCAATTTGAATCACAGTAGACTGTGATTTTAAAGTTGTTTTGTTTTGAGAAAATATCCCTAAAGAAGGTTCCTGTTTTAGGTATTTTAGAACATGGTGTGTTGCTTTCAAGTGAACTTGTCTTGGAGCTTGCACATGTTGACTTAGCTACTGAATTGAGTATCCCAAATTTGGTCAAGTGAACCCCAGATATAACAATCTGCCCACAATACTCCTATATTGTTGAGGGTCATTTAGCAATGGTGAATCCTTGGAGTGAGGTTGTTGTCCTCTCAGAAATGGAATGGGTTTTGATTTTGTTCCTAGAAAGCCGACATCTTTGAGTATGTCTAATATGTATTTTCTTTGGTTGACATAAATTCTAACATTTGTTCTTGTGATTTCCAGCGCTAGGAAGTACTTAGCAGCTCCTATATCTTTGATTGTAAACTTGTTATCCAATACTCTTTTTAGTCCTGTAATCTCTTCATCTGAATTCCCAGTAACGAGCAAATCATCTACATAAACTAATAAGACCATAAAGTGTTGATCCTTTCGATAGATACAGAGGTAGTGATCATGACATGACTGTTGGAATCCATATTTAATCAGAAAATGGGAAACTACTGAGTTCCATTGTCTGGAAGCTTGTTTTAGACCGTAAAGGGACCTTTGAAGTTTACATACTTCTCCTTCTTTTGCCTTTTCGTATCCTTCAGGGGGTTCCATATATACTTCTTCGTTCAAATACCTATGAAGAAATGCATTATTTACATCCAATTGGTGTAGTGGCTATTGTTTTGCTGCTGCAACCGCAATTAGGATTTTGACTGTTACCACTTTGGCTACTGGTGAGAAGCTGTCAACATAATCTATCCCTTCTATTTGGTGATATCCTTTTGCAACTAATCTTGTCTTATACCTTTCTATTGTTCCATCAGGTTTCAACTTTAACTTGTAAACCCATCTGCAACCAATGGCAGATTTTCCAGGAGGTAGAGTTGTCAGAGACCAAGTCTGATTCTTTTCCAGTGCTGTTATCTTTGTTCTCATTGCTTCTACCCATTCCTCTGATTGTTTTGCTTCTGTGTATGTCCTTGGTTCTTCTAAAACAGTGATACTTGCCAAAAAAGTTAAATTTTCATAATCCAAACTGGGTTTGGATATAAAGGGACAGGTTCTTGGCAGATGTGGTGAAGCTATATTCAGATTTCCTGTTGTGGCAGTGCAGTTGATATTGGTTATATAGTCTTGTAACCAGTTAGGCTTTCTTTTTACTCTGTAACTCATTCTTTGAGATTGTGGATTAACGTCTTCTGTTCCGTATTTATGACCAGGATTAGAGGACTCATCTGTTTGTGGTCTTCTAGGTTCAGAAGTTTGATCTTCAAATGTTGCACTTTCTGGAGCTGGTATGTTCAAGACATTTTGTTGACTGGTGTTTGTTTCAGTAATCAGGATCTGTAGGATCATTTCAGGCACTTCTATCTATATGGAAATTGATTCTCATGGAAGACTACATCTGTAGATAATATATATTTGTTGTTCTCAAGATCATAGAGCTTGTACCCCTTTTTTCCTGCAGTAAAACCTAAAAAGATGCATTTGAATGCTCTTGGAGCCAACTTGCCTTTATGTGGTTGATTATTTGTTGAATGGCAGAGACACCCAAAAACCTTGAGTCAGTTGTAGTATGGAGCTTCATAATGTAGTATTTCATGTGGGGTCTTCCATTCTAGGACTTGAGAGGGTAATCTATTTATTATGTATGTAGCATGTAACACAACTTCTCCCCAAAAAGTTAATGGCAGTGCTGCTTGGAAGATTATAGCTCGCGCAATCTGTAGCAGTTGTCTGTGTTTTCGTTCTGCTCTCCCGTTTTGCTGTGGTGTATAGAAACAAGTTGTTTGATGTACTATCCCAAGCTCTTCAAATATATTTTGACATGTGACACCGAGAAATTCATTCCCATTGTCGCTTCTAACTATCCTTATTTTGGCACCAAATTGTTTCATGATATGTCCATGTGCATCTGCTTTTATCTTCCACAATTGTTAAGAAGTAATATGCACCAGTCGATGACGATTGATTGTAAGGTCCCCACACGTCTACATGAATTAAATCGAAAATTATCTGACTTTGGCTAATGCTGCTTTCAAATGGTACTCTTGTTTGCTTTGCCTTTGCATATATATCACAAGGTTTAGACAATTCTTCTTTATTGATCTTGAAGTAATGATGAATGTCCTAGTCTCTTGTGCCAAGAGGCTGAATTTCCTACTATATTGTTTATCATTCCATTTTTTTTTTTAACAGAGGATTTGGGACAGGAGTATAGGGATTGTAGGAATCAACATCATATTTCTTTATGGTTTCTGGTTGGAAGGAGGAAGGTTAAAGGCAGTACAGGTTGCTGGAAGACTTGCTAACAGCTATTGTTTCCTTAGTCTTCCGGTCCTGTAATAGACAGAAATCAGGGAAAAAGGTGAATGTCACACTATTATTTTTGGCTAGTTTGCTGACAGATAATAGATTGTGGTGAAATAAGGGTATGTATAACACTCCTTTTAGGTTCAAATCGCTTTTTAAGACTATGTCAGCAAAGTACTCTACCCTTAAAACTGTGTCATTTGCTAAGTGAACTGAATTTTGCTTTTTTATTTTATCCAACTTGTTGAATAAAGAAATTTCTGCACAAATATGATTGCTTGCACTTGTATCTATTATCCAACATGTTTCTTTCGGAGCTATATTAGGGATTGTACTTACGAACTCATGTGTATAGCCCACAAAATTATGATCTATTGCAGCTTTTCCCTTCAGCACTTTTGATATCTCTTCTTGGATCACCTCCCTCATGGATGTTTTAATTTCGCTCCTTTCGTGTCTTTTAAAATTGTCTCCTATTTCCTCATCGTCGAAGGGAGTTTCTGCCACATTCACTCTTGTTTTATATCCAGCAAACCCTCTTTTTTTCTGCCTCAGCTCTTTGTACCAGTCTGGGTAGTCGTGAAGTTTAAAACACGTCTCCTTTGAATGTCCATTCTCTTTGCAGTAGTTACAAAATTTGTCTTCCTTCTTTGTCAGTTCTTTCTTTTTGAAACCATTTCTTCCTGAACATGTGTATCTTTGTGCATTGGAAGATATTATTAGAGTTGTTACGTCCATTCCTTCAGCAAAGATGCTTGTCACTTGTCGTTGTCTCTCTGTGTTCATCACCATTGAGTATACTTTGTCAATGTGTGGTAGAGAGTCAAGCAGTAGTATCTGATTTTTTGTTGGGTCGTATGTGTCATTGAGGCCCATGAGAAACTGCATTGTCTTTGAGCTCTCATTTAACTTTAATATCTGCTCTGAGATTCCACAGGTGCATTTTCCACATGTGCATTGTGGAGTTGGAATTAAGCTGTTCAGTTCATCCCACAATTGGCATATCTTGGTGAAATATATTGCGAGAGAGTCATTTTTTGAGCTATAAATCCCACTTCTCTCTTGAATTTGTACTCGAGGCTTATTTGATTCACCAAATCTTTTCTCCAGCTTATCCCACAGTTATTGTGCAGAATTGACGTATAAGAATGAATCATGAAACTCTTTCGAAGGAGAGTTTAAGATCCAAGAAACAACTATCGCGTTATTTGCGAACCAGTCTTCATATTCTACCGATTCTTTGGCCGGTATTCTCACTTTTCCAGTCACGAATCCTAATTTGTGTTTTGCTGCTAGTGCAAACTTTACAGAATTACTTCAAGTTCGATAATTTGCCCCATTGAATGGAACTGATACAAGTGAAATTCCTGAATTTTCATTCAATTGATTCATCGTCGAATTTCTTGCAGTTGTAGGGATATTTGTTTGTGTCTGATTCATCTTCTAAATCTGCTCTGATACCATGAACAAAGGTTGGAAGAAACAGAAGTGTAAACAGAGAGAAAAAAACATGAAAGAACTTCTGGTTATTATTCTGAAGGAAGGATAAAGACTCCTCCTTTTGTTATGAAAGAATTGATCCACTGTTGTTATGAAAGAATTGATCGACTGAACAATATTGCATCTGTATGCTATTTATACAGATGCCTCTTACAAATTCAACAACATGCTAACTGACTAACTATTTTAACAGAAAACAGAATAACAGAAGTTGAACATAAGATATCTACCCGTCATAACAATTTGACCAGAGAGTTTGATTTTTTTTTGTTTTTACATTTTATTTTTCTTCTCGGTCTATCATTATTTCCCTATTCCAGATAGTTTGTTAATATGATAGTTAATGGGTTATGAATGCAATATTACACACATGTACTATTGATATGTTTTTTATTTTATTTAATCTTCACATGTAACTTACATGATTAATTAGTTTACATCATGAAATGAGTGCTTCATGCCTTCCTATCCTATGCTATTTCTGAATTAGAGATCTCTAGTTTTGACCAGTGTATATTTTCTAGCAGCCAATCCTGCTTCTAATAGGATTAGTGGTGACTCCAAATATTTTTAAAATATTATATTTTCATGGAGCTTTTGCCTTGTGTCACCCTTGTGACACTGGGTATAGAACTCATGAGCTCACCCACTAAAGCTCCTAAAGTGGGGAGAAGTGCCATTAAAGCCAAAGGCTTGTGGCATCTTACTTTGTTTTTGATTGTGAAGAGTTGTGGTTTGGTGGCAGGGTGAGTATATTTTTCAAGCTGAAATGACTTGTACAAACACCCTAAAAAACAATAAAATTAACAAAGATGGTAATTGTGATATGAAAATTCAGTGGGCACAGTCACGTTATGAACATTAGAATGGACGCAATACATCCACGCATCGGCATAGTTTCGTTGTCAAAGATAGGAACAGCTATCATGTTTCCTCAAATTACTTAGATTTAGACTCTAGACAAGGTGAAGAACGATGGGAGAATGTGGTTTAGTTGCCTCAAAAAAAAAGGAAATTTTTATCCATTCCGTCGAATATAAAAGATAAGGTAGTGAGAATTACATCCAGCAATACTGTTCTATCTTCAAGTTCAATTTTGTCTCCACCAAGTACCGACAGTAATAGGGTACTTTGTAGTTTTAAATGATTGTGGAGCTGAATATCCTGACAAAGAGTCAGCTGAATGGATCTTCTCATTTGCATCAGGAGCTAAATCCATTTGATTACTTTGAAGTTTAGGTTGAAGAGCACTTCATTCAGGTATTGTGATGTCAAGGTGTGCATTTGATATTGATTCTCTGAGGGATATATCTTTACCTAAATATTATGAGGACGTGCCTAAAAGTGGGAAACAAGTTAGGAGAAGTTTGACTCCGGTAAGTAGGGACTTTGTGAGGGAGGGCTTTGAAGGAATTAAGGTCATATCACCTGGATCTTATATTAGAGGGTGGGCCTGAAACCGGAGACGAATACTTGGAGTTTGAGAATTGCAAGTAAATTACTTATGTAGAAAAGTATTCTTCCTCAGGGAGGTAGGAATTTGTTGCAAGGTAGTAGAAGTGTATTTGCATATGAAAAGTTGAATAAGAGTTTTGTGTGGAATGATTCTTTGGTTCTATATTTGATTTGTAGGCTTTTAGTAAAATTTTGCTTGATTATCTTAATTGAGGGTGTTGTTTTAAGGGTATAACGGCGATCTCAGTTTGTGCTTCGACGATATAACCTTTACTCATTGAAACTTATTATATTTTTGTCTTTTATTTGAAAATGAGAATTTTGTATGAACTGATAATCCAATATAACAAATATTAAAAGAGATATGATCAGTATTTAATGCATCTTTTTATACAGTATCATAATGGTTGAATGAAATGCCTTTTCTTTTAATTAAGCCCAAAACAAATTGGATTTATATCTGCTTCTTTAATTCAAGCATTCTTCATAGTGGTTGAATGGAAGTGCCTTTTCTTTTAAATAAGCCTGAAACAAGTTGGTTTTATGTCTGTTTTCTTTAATATTGTCATGCATTCTTCAGGAACCTGTCAATAAATGGTTTTTTATTTTTATTTTTTTGTTGCATTTTAAGGCTTTTGTTGAACTACTATTTCTGGTTCACTTATAATCGTTTTGAATGTGGTTCTATCAACTCAATCAGACATACATGCTAGCACCTTTTTCTTCAGTTTTTAATGCCTTCTTTTTGATTGATTAACTGTATGCATCTTTATCATATCAAGTTGCTTCTGTGTTCATAAGGATTATATTTCAATTGTATTCTCTACTGGTTATTTTCTTGTAATGCTTTGACACTTGGGAAGGTAGTTTTCCACTTGATTGGTGTTTCCTAAAACACTTGCTTAGCCAGCTTTGAGTCAAAAGCGTGCTGAGAATATGATCCCTAGAAAATGGTTTGTCAGTGATGTGAGGTACCATGAAAACGGAGGAGAAAAAAAATAGTATTTTCTTTTTCCCACATTTATTGAGAAGCTTCTTTCTTTTCGCTAAAGGCATTTAGGGATTGTTTAACTCTTTCTAGGAGATTTTTATGTAATGATTCAATTGAAGGTTGGCCTCAAGGCTCCTGCAATGAAAATCACATTTGGTTGACATGTCTTCCTCTTCTGTTAGATAATCTTACTTTTGTTGCAACTGTTACAGAGGTGTTCAAGAGGCAGTCGGAACATATGGCTTCATCATTCAGAGCGTTCTTGAATAGTCCAGTTGGTCCTAAAACAACTCATTTTTGGGGACCCGTAGCCAACTGGGGTTTTGTTGTTGCTGTATGCTTCATCTTTTTCTTTTTCCTACAAGTTTTTAGCTTTCATCTTTTTTCTTCCAAGTTTTTGGTTTCATCCTTTTCTTCTCCTATTTTAGAATATATAACTTAATTTTAGATGTTTTGAATGGCTCAAAGAAAAATGTCCTTAGAGCAGTAGGGTGCTTTAAGTTACTTAAAGCAAATATAATCTTATTTCAAAAAAATTCTTATTTAAAAAAGAAGCAGCTGCGACTTATGTCTTTGAATAAAGTGCGGATTGCAAAAATACACAATTTTTTGTATAAAGAAACTAATAAATATCTATTATTAATATTTTATAATTTATGTTATTATATATTGTAATTTTACGAAGATATCAGGAGACTAGTTAATTGATTTGTTAGGCTGAAAAAATTGGAATCTATAAAATAACGAATGATGTTTGTGATTTTTACTTTAAGAGAGTCAAGTTTTAGGAGCTGATGAGCATCTTGTTTCTTATGTTATCAAAAGAGGGAGATTCCAACATTGCTTAGAGCTGCTTCTAAGCAGGAATAAGCAAATGCCAAACACCTCTATATATTGTGTAGTTTGTTTACTGTTAACGTTAATTCTTGATTACTTGTTTTGGTAAATTTTCAACAGGGGTTGGTTGACATGCAGAAACCCCCCGAAATGATCTCTGGAAACATGACTGCGGGTAAACACAATATCTGGTTTAGCTTATTTCTGAATTTAATTCATTGGTAAACTTATAGTCTGACCTTTAATGCTGGTGCTGCAGCAATGTGCGTCTACTCAGGATTGTTCATGAGGTTTGCATGGATGGTGCAGCCACGTAATTATCTACTTCTAGCATGTCATGCTTCAAATGAGACGGTACAGCTCTATCAACTTTCTAGATGGGCAAAGGGTCAAGGGTAAGTAACTCTCTGCAATCAACTTTTATCTTCTTATCTAACTTTACTCAGCAGTTATTAGTTTGAATTTCTTTTAGATTATATTAATATAGAGCAAGTCCAAGGTTGGACGATAAGATTCCTTTCTAATATTCAAAAAAAGACAAACAAAAAGAAAGCGAGAAAGAACCTCTGACATAAGAGTGAGAGCTCAATATAAAAGGGCCATCCAACTCCTTTACAATTAGATATAGCTACTTCCTTCAAAAACTCAATGCATCCATTCTTTTGGGTAAAATGCAGTTTCACTTTTGTGGTCTGATGTTAAATATGATTCAAGTATCGTATTTTGTTTTCTTTTTATGATTAAGCCTGAAGTGGTTTCTTTTTCATCGTTTTCAAGAGAATTGTTAGTTTTTTAGAAAATATATGAAAAATATATGGGCTAAGAAGCATGAACAAGTGACAGTTCATGATTAAATAAATCGGAGTTAGGAAAAAACTTTTTTAAAAAAGAGTTATTAGGTTACTGTCTAGAGAATATATAGCAAATTACAGTTTCGTTCCTTTTAGGTTGGTTTTGCTGGAATTGGAATTTTTTGTTCTTTTTTTTTTTTTTTTTTTCTACAGCTTGGTTTTTTTAATTTTTTATTTATTTTGACTGTGACTTCCCTGTTTAGAAATCCAAAAACGTGGATATTTTTAAAAAGATTAATAGTTGTATATGAAATAAAAAATAATAAACTATGTGGTATTTAATTGTCCAAAGTGTTAACATTGAATTGGAACCATAACAAAGTCAAATCACGATAAGTAAAAATTGTACTCGGGCAAAATGAAAGTACAAATGTGTCGACATAGTATTGACAGCGTAGCAGAGCGTAATTAATTATGTATTTTAGAATTATATTTTGGATATTAAATCATCAAAGTCTAAAAACATAAGCCATAATCAATACCGATTACAATATTCTATACTGGCAGTTTAAATTCCTCAAAGGGAAGTAAAAGATGATGGGTTAACAAATGTTTGTGGGCTCGTGTTTTCATGAAGGTACTTGTCATCATCGGAGAAAAAAGAAGAGGCCTCGTCTCAGTAGTGACTTGATGCGGCCTTGTTTCCATGTCAGTTTCCATTAACTCTGCTTCTGATTTGAAGTGCATACATTGTTATTTCCAACAGTGACTATTCTGCATGCACGGCCATTAGTTATCTTCTTGTTTGGATAAATAAAGCTTTGAATCCGACCACGATAAATGATTTGAATTATAAAAGCTTCGTTTTACCATAGCCATGGATATATACACTTGAAAATTTATGACCCACTGACTGACCTTTTAAGAAAGTCTTACCACATTTTAAAAAGAAAACTTGTAAAATCATGAAAGCAGAGGCAACTCTAACTTCATTTTGATTTAATTACTAATTAAATCATAATTCTAATTAATTGTTCATTTTATTTGCATAATTAATCAAGAAACTGACATCTCACTTCGAAAAGTTTTGATGCTACGAATTCAATTCTTAGTTATGACTCGTTTTTTTATTTATGAGTTGTTTTGATTGATTATGGAATTTTCCAATGCCAAAAAATTTAATATGAAAAAATTCCTTCCGCAAGATTTTTATTGATAAGTTCTTATTTATTATAAACTAAATTAGTATGTATTCAGGGGTGTTTATCAAGTTGGAATTGGGTTGGGACTGAAACAAGCTGAATTTTTTTTTTTAATCCTTTTATTTGGTGTAATTTGTATTTCAGTCTGCACCGAAAAATGAATATTCCGATCTGAAAGTTTGAAAAAATAAAACAACGAATTAAATGATTGGCGAGCATAAACGTGCCACGTGCAAATACTCACGAATAACAAGTTAAAACTTAAATTTGATTAGAAGAGTTTTTTATTTTATATTTTAAAGTAAAACAAAACAGTCAATCAATGAATGGTGAGCATGTACTCGGCACGTGGAAATGCTGGTCTCCCTGCATGACCCAAAAAAAAAAAAAAAACAGTTTTGTTTGTCAACTTCTGGACTACTACTATGCCGATAACTTGGACTATCAGCTCTTTGATTCGATTCCGACCTCGTTGCAGACGATCAGCTCTGTTTTCTTATATATATATATATATATATATATATATACATATTTATAATTTTGAACTCCTGATAGCGAGCCCTCCCTCCTCTACTGCCTAAATTTACTATTTTCCGCTTGAGGTGATCCACAGCCGTCCTATCAGAAATATACGAACATTGCTAGATATGAGCACAGGTTGAGGATGTTAATCTGTATACCTGCGGGTCTAATAAAAATATAAATTCATAATTTAAAATAATATATAAATATAAAGGTAAGATGTTTTTCACATGCAAAATAGCAAGGGCTAAATAAATTGTCGTAATGGGGGAAGAATACGCGGCGTGGACGGTGGCAGTGAGAAGTTGCTTAATTCATCCTAATTAAGATTATATTAGTGTTTATATTATCAACCCCAATTATCTTTAAGAAATATAATAGGAAAATTTTGACTATTAAACTCTCTCTCTCTCTCTCTCTCTAATTTTCAAGCATTTTTCAATATATTTTTTTTTAAATTAATCTTTCACAAATTTTTCTCTGTGTTTTCTTTAAAAAAAAAAATTAAATAGTTTAATAATAATTTTAATATCTGTAATTAATATATTAAATTGAATAGTAGTATTTGTTGAAAATAAAACATAATTATATTTTTATTAAAACTATTGAAAATTTGAAATCCAAAAAGGCCATCAATTTAACTAAAACAACTTAACTATAAATGGTCAATGGCGTCCTTTACAATTTAAAAAAAAAAAAAAAAAAAAGCAAAATCACGGAATTAATTGTAGTCAAAGTTTGGTGTTGACTACAGACAAAGTCATCTTTTGGCTAGTTTGAACTATCTAAGAAAATATTTGAAATCGAGAGAACCGACTTTTTTTAATACTTTTTTATTTTATTTATCCGACCAAAGTGCCGTAATTTTTAAGACGCTAAATTATTTATTTATTTTTTTTAAAAATTCAATGCGAAAAGGATGACAACTTAAATAATTCAGTCAACTTACAAAGACAAAAACCTAGTCAATATTGTGATTTAGTTAAATTTCGCTGTCTAAAATTTCATGGCACAAGTTAAAATTAAAATTAAAATTAAATATTTTTTTAAAAAATTAATTATTTATTTAAATTAACTCATTAATATTTAATTTAATTTAATTACTACAATATTATTAATATCCTGATTAATATATTTAATTTTTAATTTTATTAAATCATAATATATTCATAAAATAAAAAAATTTATATCCTCAATAAAATTTGAATTTATAATCTTCTTATAAAACACAATATATTAATTATTAAATTATTTTTTATTTATGTGAATTTTTATTTTTTCTAATTAAACAAGAAAGAAATGGTACTTCATAATTTGCAGTACAAAGAGGTGTGTAAATGTTAATAATTCCATAATAAAGTCAACGACTATAATCAAAATTGGAGGTCTAAATCAGATCTTACAAAGAACTAACTCTCCTAAAATCTGTTTGTAGGATACAATTTAAAGACCCAAAAAAAAAAAAAAAATCAAGAGAAAAAACTCGGAAAATTAAGGGGAAACGGTGCCGTTTGAGAGTGAATAAAGAATGCGGGCATATCTACAATCGTCATAGTACACCCTGCAAGAACTGAAAACAAAAAAACAACCCTTGTTTGTTGGGTAGCTGTTGTCTGCCGCATCCCCCATTTTCAAAATCTCTCTCTCCAAATCCCCCATTCCCACCTTTCCACTTTCTCCCCTATAAATCCAAATCCCCCCCCCTTTTCCCTCTCTCTGCTAAATCGCTTTCCCCCCTTCTAGTCAATCGCCTTCATCACTCTACTCACTCTCTGTTATTCTTCTTCTTCTTCTATACGCCGTTGGTTGTTGAACCAGAGACAGCAATGTCAGCGAGCTCGAGGCGGAGAACCACAGAGCTTCAAGTCCCGAGGAAATGGAAAGAGAGGGAATTGGAAACCAGTCCCGAGAGAACCAAAGTGTGGACCGAGCCGAAGACCAAGACCTCCGCCGAGAGGAAAGTCCCTGTCGTCTACTATCTCTCCAGGAATGGCCATCTTGATCACCCTCATTTTATGGAGGTCCCTCTTTCTTCCAATGACGGTCTCTATCTCAGAGGTAACTACACTTTTTTCTTTTATTCTTTCCGTTTGTTTGCCGAGAAAAAATAAACGAAGTGGAGAGGTGCAGGTATATGAGGGAAAGAGGAGGGAAAGAAACACTTCTTTTCAGATGATTTTAATTTATCTTCTTCCTTTCGCCGTAAAGTTCACAATAAAGGCAGCTTAAACTTTCAAATTTTGAATTCTACCGGTATATTTCTATTTGGTTGCCGAGAAAAGTTAATAAAGCAAAAGGAAAAGGAGCTTTGAGTTTATAAAACTTTGACATTGTTTAACCTTTTAAGCTGGATTTCTTTTTTCGGTGTAGAGGAATCAACTTTTGATGCATACTTTTGTTTTCTCCGTCATGAAACTCCAAAATTTCTATTTCATTTTCTTGTACTTTCTCCGGAACCAAACAGTAAAAATAAGCATAATTTGAAACTGAATTTGTTCTGTTCCGCAGATGTGATCAACCGCTTAAACGTTCTCCGAGGCAAGGGCATGGCTAGCCTGTACTCATGGTCATCAAAACGGTATATTCACCTTCACCTTCCAACCGTTTATCTCTACCGTTGGATCGTCTGACTCTGTTTTTCTCAATCTCAGGAGCTACAAAAACGGCTTCGTTTGGCACGACTTATCGGACAACGACTTCATCTACCCGGCTCACGGCCAAGAGTACGTCCTCAAAGGGTCGGAGATCGTTGATCCTTCTCCGTTAAACCCCCCACCCCTGCTTCAAACGGCGTCGTTTAGAGCCCTGAAACCCCCCAACAAAGCAGAGAACGACCGTGATTTCCCGGTGATAACGCGACGGAGAAATCAATCATGGAGCTCAATCGATCTCAACGAGTACCAAGTCTACAAGACCGAGTCCATCAGTGAGTCAAATCGGAGGTTCGCCGCGGACGCATCCACTCAGACGGATGAGAGAAGGAGAAGAAGGAAAGCGGGCAAGGAAGAGAAAGAAGAAGAGATCGATGACGACGACCAGCATGGAGAAAAAAGTCCAGAGGTTTATGAGAAGCAAAGTACGGAGCTTAGCAGGGAGGAGATTTCGCCTCCGCCGTCCGATTCGAGCCCGGAGACTTTGGAGTCGTTGATGAAAGCCGATGGACGGCTGATATTGTGCCCTAATGGCGGCAAGGAAGATGGTTCAAATCGGACGGCTGAGAGTTGTCATAGTGGGAGGATGAAGGCATCCAACGTTTTGATGCAGTTGATATCGTGCGGTTCGATTTCCTTCAGAGAATGTGGGTCCAACTTGGTGAAAGATCAAGGGCTGTCGTTGATTGGGCAATACAAGGCAAGGCTGCCCCGCGGAGCAGGAAGCAGTGAACTGGTGCGGAAGGAAGCAGGGACCGAAAGGGAATTTGAAAGTTTCGTAGGAGTAAAATTGGAAGATAAGGATTACTTCAGTGGCAGCTTGATTGAGACCAAGAAAGAGCCCGTGCCTACTTTAAAGAGATCTTCTTCTTACAATGCAGATAGGTAATTGACTATTTCTTCCCCTCTTTTAAGAAGTTTAATTAGCATAATCACTTATTAACCCAAGTATCTATGAGTTGGGAATTGGAAATTATCATCGTTTAATCTCCCAGTATAAAGCTCTGTTTGACAGTTTGACAGTGGGATTAGGTTTATGTAAATGGTGAAAACCCCGTTCGAGAAGTGATTGAAGGAAAATATCTTAATATGGAAATTTACTTGCACGGAGAATACCAAAATCCAATAAAATACAGAGAGTACTCTGTTTTTCAACTCTCATGTTAGATTTGAGTCAGAAATCTTGATTCTCTTGCTGCACCGTTTGGCCTGATTTGTATTTTTGAAATGCCAAGATTCGTACGGATTTTGTCAAAACTGCCGACTTTAACTATTAACTCTTACTTGTGCAGTACCATTTCACAGTAATTCAGTTTGCTTTACAGATTGGATTAATTGGTTCTATAATTATATAATGCAATATATAGGTTATGTCATTTCAGTCATATGCTTATTCATGGTTCAATGTTCATGTCCAACTTTTTCGTCGTATGACTTGATAAGTATCTACTAAAAGCTGGCTATTCAAATTTACCTTGGAACATCTAAAGCTTGTTCTTCCCACGTGTGAACCCAGAATTATTTTTCAGTTCTTGTTGTTGAAAACTCAGTTCCATAAGATCTAAATATACTAATGCTCTGTCATTCAACTTCAAAGTTCAAACTTAGATAGCCTTTTATCTGCAAAATAATTTCGTAGCCGGATGCAGACATGGAAGAAAGTTCTAAGACATGCTTTCTTAGCTTTTTTCTTCTATACGCAAATTTTTCTAATGAGAGTACTATACTAGATGGGTTGACTTCAAGTGACATGTTTCTTGATTCATATGGACCTTTTGGGTTTTTTCTACTGTAATCTCTTAAGGACATTCTAAGTAGTAAAAAGCTAAGGAAGTACTATGACATGCTTATAAATTTGGGGTTGAAGGGGGAGGGCGGGGGAAGGGAAAGAACCAACCCTACAATAAATTCTATAACTCTTGCAGCTTTTTAAGCTTTTTATCTTCTATGCAGATAAAATTTGAATGAGATTACTAGATGACCTGACGTCAATCCACGTGATTCTTGATCCATATCTATATTTTTGCTTTGTTTGTGTGTAATTTTTTGTAGTCATGCCTTAAAAGTCCATATGTGTTCAGATATCTATTTTTAAATTATAAAGCTTGGCTTTGACAGAGTTGTTAATTGGCTAATTTTGTTGTTAATAAACCAGGGGCTGTCAGGTTGAGCTGGCTGAAAAGGAAATAGATGGAGTCCGTGCAAAATGTATACCAAGAAAACCAAGAGCACTCCCGGCAAAGAAAGCAGGCAACAACAATACTGAAACCTCCGTTGAAGACGCCACAAACAGCACAACCAAAGACTCCAAGACTTAACAAAATCCTTACCAGGCAAACCAGAAACAGAAAAATGGTAAATCAAAACCTCTAGCTCTGTTAATTATAGTTAAAAATGAAAAGGGAGAAGTTCTAGAAAAAAAAAAAATGGTACAGAGAAAAAATAGGCAAAATATAACTAGTAGGAGTACTGAATTGGAAGCTACGGCATGATGGGTAGTAGTATATCTATATAAAAATCCAAGGGAAGAAAGTGGGTTTTGGGAATTTGCTAAAAAAGCTTTTTTGTTGAAGCTTGTGAAAAAGTGTCTCCCTTGGGATTTGGAAGGTTGAGCTTGGAGGATCAGCAAAATTAGTGCCTTGATGTTTGCAGCGAGACCTTAATCTTTGTGTTTTGGCTCTTAACCCCTAATTTTATCTACGGTACTAAGAAATTTAATAGTTTCTTAATTTTTACAGAGTTTCTAAATTTTCACTTCAATAAGTTAAATTATCAAATAAAGTTTCCAAGTTAAGGAATAAAACAAAAGTAGTGACTAAAGGTGGCAGAGTAGAAGATCTATTTAATATGATAGATGTGCTTTCACTTATTATCCGTAATAACTCTTAATTAACTTCAGTGATTGTTCTAATTTTAGTTAGTAATAAAAAAAGTGAATATCACTTTAATTTATATATTAAAATAAATAATCACTGCTTAACTAAATAATTAGTAATTATTTTTATTATATTATGATTGTTTGAATGATTTTAAGAATTAAAGAACAAATTTATTAGAAATCATAAAACAAAAAATTAATAAAATTGATATTTTAAAGTAACGTAGTATTGCTCGAATTTTTAGGAACACTGAAACAATAGGGTGTTGGGAATTTGCTTAAAAGCTCTCTCGTTGAAGCTTGTAAAAATTGTGTTTTTGGGAAACTGGAGAGTTGACTCAGGGTCAACAAATTAGTGCCTTAATTTTTGTAGTAGAGGGGGACCTTGATTTTGGTGTTTTTGGGTGTTAAACCCTAATTTCATAAGCCATTTTGACTAGATAGATTTGACTTTGGGAGATGGGTCTTGGAATTTTTGTACACCCTGGCTCGGTCATCGGTTGGATCTTTAAAGCACACATGTGAGCCGTGAGCTCACGAGCCAGCTCGAGGTTTTCAGGGTGCTTTGAGAAATGGAAGTGCTCACTCACCAAGAATAGTATTAATTAATATTGTAAAAATAAAATCGGATTATTTAAAAATTAATCCAAAATTACATTTATTACTAAAATTTAAAAAAATTAAGGATAATGTTCAGAATAAATTTAAAATTTATTTGATATAATTTATTTCACAGTAAATTGTAAATTACATTGAATTTTATATATTTTTTTTACATATAATTCCTGAAATAATTTTAAAACAGAAGTTTAAATTTGTTTCAAACATAATTTTAAGAAATTTAAAGTAATAATAAAAATATAGTAAATTATACTCTAATTACTTAAATAAAAATTAACAAAAAATAGAATTACACTTTTACTTAGTAATAGTGAAACCCAGAGTGCAATGGCCCTGGCAAACTCAACCCATTACTCCTCAGTGGATTGGACCAGTTGGTTCCTCTGGTGAATCACGACCCAATTGGGTCCATAATCATCAATCAGCCCCTTTGTAAATAGTGTATGTGTGTATATATATATATATATATTTTAGTTGTACATGCATATTTTTTGGTGGTCTAGTAATATTTTTTTGAACTGTGATTTATATATTTTGAGTTTATTGATATTATAACTTCAATAAAACATAAATTTCCCAATCGAATCACTTGTAAATAAAAAAAATCTCATGTAAAATTCTAGATAATCCCTATAATAAAATTTAAGCTCAATTTAGAACAATTTCAAAAAACAAAGAAATGCAATTACGGAATAAAAATTACGAGAAAGCAAATTTTGTTATAATATAATAAAAATTAAACACTTATGAAATTTCAAGTTGAATTCACAAAAATACATTTAAATACATATAGTTATTTAAATTCTATACTAAATTTAATATTTTGTAGAATTTAGGTGATTTTATCAATCAATGGTCGTCAGTTATTTACATCAAAATTTATTCTTTACTGCTAGACATATTATATAAATTAATATTTAATTACCAACAAACTAAATTCACTGAACTATATCAAACTTTACTTAATTGAATAAATTTTACATAATTAAAATTCCATATTAAATTATTATATATAATAAGTAATTTTATTAACTACATTAGCTGGCAGACATTCTGTAGGTCATTGATATCGTGCAGCATATTATATCTTGTTGACTAATTAAGTACGTTAAAAAAAGTAGAATGTGGGTATAGTTTTTATATCATTCGTGTACATGAGATCAAGTATTATTTTATCACTAATAATACAATGATCTAATGGTTAAAATTTTTATATTTTATTTAAATATTACGAATTTGAATATCATTAAATATTTATAATTAATTATTTTATGAGTATATTATGAATTGGTAGTGTAACACTCAGACCTGCAAAAATTAGTCCGGAATAATTTAATATTAATAAGAATAATAATTAAAATAATTTAGTTTTTAATTTTTTGTGAATTTTTGAAGAAAATTGAGTTTTTGATGCATTTGAAAATATTTTTAAAAATTAAGACCAAAATAAAAATAAATGAAGACTAATTTAAAGAGAAATATGAAAAATTAGGGTAAAAATAAAATTTATAAAAGTTTGGCCACGTGGACTGCCACGTCAGCAGTGCGGCCAGAGTCTATGTGATGCGTGGCAGACACGTGGACACACTTCTATGTAGGAGGCCACGACGGCTCAGATCGCATCTTGCGCGCACGGGCGGCCCAGATCCGTTTCTTCTTCAAGCGCGATCGAACGGCTGGATTTGATTAGATCGTGCGGTCCATATTAATTCTCCCAATAAGAGGAAGCCAACAGGCTAAGAATGAGCCACGTCTCCTCGAATAGATGATCCAGATTTAATGAACTCCTCTTCACAGGGAACCTTAACCTTACCCGTCAGAGATGAGATCAGAGAAGAAGAAGAGGGGAGGCCGAAAAGCGAATCACTTGTCGGAGAAGGAGACTCGCCACCGGCACCAAAAAGATAAAATTTTTCTTCTTCCTCTCGGAATTGAATTTCGAACATCCCCACACATATCAAAGCCAAAATGCCAAAAGGTGAGCCAAAAATCGCGAGCGGAGCTCGACTGAATCGCTGTAGCCACAACTCAAAAATTTTCCGATGAGCCCCTTCTTGTTTTCTATTTTTTTCGATTTTTTGACTGTCGTGTTCCTCATTTCATTCTGTTGCAGCTTAGTCGAAGAGAAGCCTCGACTGCAAGAGAGGAATGGCGAAGCTACCACATCGAAAAACTCCTTCATTGGTAGGGTCTCTATTTTCCTATTTTCCAGCCAATAACGACTCTTTAACCCTTTTTTTGAAGGTTTCCATGCAAAATCGGCCGAAAATGGCCAAGTCAAGAGGAAGCAGAATCGGCGCCCAAGCAAGGGGGCGGCGCCATGTCGGAACCCTTAAC